GTAATATAGTATAGTATAATATAATTTCATATAATATAATATAATATTAAAAAATATAATATAGTAAAATATAATCAAATAATATAATATAATAAAATAATATATATATATATAATATAATAATATATAATATTATAAAATTCTTATATTTGAACATTTTTGAAATTTTAATACTCAAACATCCAGAACATTGAAGGTAGATCTAGGATTTACAGTTATATAAACCAACTTATGGCTGCTTTCTGGAAATACAGAGCAAAACCTTGGTAGATTTAATATGATTTAATTATTGCCATGAATGTGAATTTACCCGCTGGTTATTTAACGTAGCTATAGAGAATCACCATTTTTAATAGGTAAATCATCAAAAAACATCTATTTCTATGCGTTATTTTCCATGGCTATGTTAAACAACCAGAGGGTAATATGATTTAATTGAATTATTACCCAGATTAACCATGATTTACCCAGATTTGATGACTTAATCATGATTTTGAATGGGATTGAATGGGGTGACAATCAAACCTGTGGATGTAATCCAGAGGTGGCTGATTGGGGATTGCTTCGAAGTTGGTGTTTTGTTTGCGATGCCGAGGACAACCTACAAGCAACCATGGGTTGTTCCATCAAATATCAATGATTCATGATATTTGATGAACTTTGTGCTGGTTACTGGTTTATGATATAATATGTATCTATGTTGCAAAGAAAAACAGGGTTGGATCGTAGTCTACCGTTGGTAGTTTATAGCACCCCCCGACAAAAACGAAAGGTTACCTTTACCATTTTCAAAAATACGTGTTCTATCTATTTGGGTGTTTGCTACATTTGCTATGAGAAAACGTGTTGATGATGGTTTACTAGTTTCTTGGTTCTTGAAAGTATGATGAATACCAACAGATCCTTTGTTTTCATTGGCTATGCAAATATATATATAGATAGATAGATAGATAGATAGATAATGTCATAAAAGATACCCATCTTTGATAGTTGCATATTTACATACACACGCATAAACACATAGATATGTATATCTAATGATGTACAAACATATGGGAAACTATGTAGTAGTGCAGTAATTCATCATAATCATATACCATCTGGTTATTTAACATAGCCATGGAAAATCCACCATTTTTAAGTTCGGTAAACCATCTATTTCTATGGGCCATGACTTACCATGGCTATGTTAGTCATAACCAGCGGGTAATATGATTTAATTTAATTATTACCCAGATTTAACCATGATTTACCCAGATTTGATGATTTAACCACGATTTTGAATGGGATTTTGAATGCAGTATTTCATCATAACCATAATTCATAATGACGTCATTCCATCGTTGCTTTCATAGAGCAGAAATGTGTCTTAGACTTACGCAAAATCAGATCCCCGCTGAGGGATTTGTCGAAGACCATCTGACTGGGGGATCCGTATGTAGACAATATATAGATATACTAGGTCATATTATCGTATTATTAATATGAAAATAAATATATATATATATATAAATATCTATCTCTATATATATCTATGTATATACATATTATACCTATAACTATACATAGCGTGTATATGTCAATAAATTTGACCCAGTTTGGTACGCAACGGACAAGTCATGCCAGTGGTGACCTGGGGATGGGTCAACGGGGGGACGAAACACCAAGGTAAACACACAAAAACAATGCAGCCACCATGGGTTTCAATACTAATATTGATTCATAATGGTTAATATTGGTTAAATATTGGTTAATATTGGTCAATAATGGTTAGTAATGTTTAATGATGAACTTCTGTGGATGGTTGCGAAATCCTGCACCACCAATTTCGGATGGTTGAAACCCAAACAAAATAATGGGATGTTTACCATCTATCAACTGGTGCAGGATTTCGCAACCATCCACAGTAACATGCTCTAATGACTTGGATGATTTGGGGTACCCCTATTTTAGTAAATATCCATATAAGAAAATACTTGGCTGCAATCAGCCTGAAATGCTACTCTTAGATACCCGGGGCGACTTGCAACGTATGTTCTTTCAGCTAGGCATTGTGGATTCCTCCATTTCATTGTTTCAACTACCAAACACCATGGGGTAAACATAGAAAACGATGTGGAAAACCTCTGGTTTTGCTGGGAAAAGAAGCTACAGTGGGTTTTCCACATCTATGTTATGTTGCAGGAAAGTAATTGTCAACACTTACCACCAAGGCTTAGCTCCCCAAAACTTTGCCGGTGACCACCACCCCTTCTGCCAAGTTTCTGCCGTGCCATTCACGCGCGGGGTCTTTGCACCGCAAGGCGTGGTGGGTGCCATCACTTCCTCGGCCAATGAGATCGGAGGTGGTAGGGTGGACCGGGTACATCTGAGCACGATCATCTAAGTCAATCCCCCTTTGGTTTCTGGTTGGTGGTTTCAACCATCTTGAAAAATATTAGTCAAATGGGATGATTATTCCCAATATATGGGAAAATAAAAAATGTTCCAAACCACCAACCAGGTTTGACATGTGGCTTTGAAAAAATGGGGATACCCACTTGGTCTAGCCCATTTGAAGAGGGAACATGATCATTATCGATTGGACTTGGAGGTGCACAGAGCCTAAAGTAATTGGTCTCCCACCACGGGTCGCCTCATATCTGCAAGGGAGTGATCAGGGGTGGGAATCATCCATTTATGTTTTGTTGCTTAAATCCCAATGTTTTGTGGCTGTTAAATCCCTAAAATCCGCAAGAATCGTACTTCCCCCGTCAAAGAATCTCCATGCTTTGGGATTTCGATTACCAAAGGGGTTCCAAACGTTCCAAACTCCTGCACGCGAGTTGTATCGGATTTTGTGTTGGTGTATCCCAATTTGTTGATTGGTCATTGACACGGCTGCCTCTGGCTTGTGAAATTAACCTTCCTTAATCTAATCTGGAGGTTGGCCATATGGGTATGGATCAAGATCTACAGAACCCCCAACTCATAGATGCCGACCTACCCTACTGTTTGGTTCCCTGTATGAAATGTGTCTTGTAATATGTGTCCGGGATCTTCGGGTAAACATGTTTTTTAACCTCCAGATGGAGAAGTGACATGTCACTCAATTTTTTTGGTACAGGATTTTGTTTTCCCATCCTTTTGGGTGTTGGTAAGAGGTCCTATAAAAGGGAAATACCTGTTCGGGGGACCAAAACCATCCAAGTCACCTAGCCTCTAGGACTATCCCAATCCATGTCTGTATGAATGATGAATGAAAAACACGAGTTGCCAATCTATACAGTCGATACATCAGTCACATATCGTATCCACCAACTACAGTCACTATCCATGTTTCAAAACATTCTATCTATCTATATATATATATGTACAATATATATATATATGGAATTTTGGGATAATGGGATTACCAAATGGGCTTTATAGTATCTGTGAATCAGGTATGAATATAATGAGATTATAGTATCTATGGTTCCAACACCAAGCATCTTCTTTTCTGCTCCTCTTTGCTGGTGTCATTGGAGCCGGCTCGCTGCTCGCAGTCGCATCCGGTTGTTTCCTGGTTGCAATCACGTGCCCACTAACGTGAACAAATGAAATGATAACGATTGAGCTTATGGTAAAAGCCTTTTAGTGCCACTAACAATATTTATAAGCATCATGCAGCATATATATATATACGGTAACTACATTTAAATATACGGAATTTTAGATATACGAACAGGTATTTTAGACTACCTTCGGGAACGTTTTCCTTGGCCCGCCCAGCCATTTAAACATACGGAATCCAATTCATTTAAACATACTGCAACTACATTTAAATATACGAACTGGTATTTCATACTACCTCCGGGGCCTGGCGGTCTGGCCCGCCCTCCACATATTTAAATGTCGTTACCGTATATATATATATATATAAATAAATGTAAAACATATCAATGGCCATTCCAGGATCCTAAATTGGAGGTACCTACCATATACAAGGCCTATATAAGGCATATGTAAGGGAATATCCCCACAAAATATTATGGCCGTATATGGTACAATACCTCCAATTTAGGATCCTGGAATTCCCATTAGTAACTAAGTTTCAGAATTTGTGGAGAAAGAAAATGCACCTTTTTTCAATACGAAGACTCTTGGTGAACGTCGTCCAGTTCTGGAATGTGTCACAGTTCCGATCCCACTATTAGTTTTGGATATCTCAGGTGTACATTTGGGTACCTAAATAATAAGGAAGTGCGTGTGCGTATATGTATATATCCAATATTTGCTGGATAATTTCCAATGCTTAATATATTCCAGCCCTACCCTAGCTAATGATATAGTTACATATCTGTGAAAATATGTATACACATCATTATCTATGTATGTATCTACCTACCTATCTGTATCCCAATGGTTGTGATTCTTTCGGCAAGCTGCCCCTTCCTTCGTGTCTTTTGCGGGGTTGCTGGCGTCCCTGGTGCGGCCTGGAGGTCTGGATGTCTGGACAGCACTATGTAATGTAGTGTATGTACATGTGTATGCATAGACTACTTATAAATGATTTATTATCCATTCACAATTGATTGATGAAATGGTCATTATCACGGCCAATCTCAGATTTACGTCTGTTTTTTTCTGTAGCTGGTTAATATATTCCTGTTTACTGATATTTTCCGTCTCTTTCAATGGATTAAAATCCCAGCGTATCCATCAAAGTCTGCCCAATGTACTGTATATTAAATATATATTTATTTATCATTGTATCACCATAAAATAACAACAAATCGGTTTATGTATATGTATATCTATATATATATATATCTATTATATATACATGTGTTCTCGTTCAAATCCCAATGTTTCTTGGCAAATAGCTGTACACATAAACATGTTCATATGGACAAATTACCTAGAACAATTCACAACGTAGCAGTGAGGTCCTTATAATTTACCCAGATCATGATTCATGAAATATCCTCATTGTCCCCACTATACCACCGTGTTTGTTTATTGATGCTTAAATCACATTTAAATCACCATTAAAATAGTTATCACAATGAAAAATCTGGATAATCAATAAATCATAGCCATTAAACCATCCACGGTTGCTGTTTCGCCCACTTCCTCTGCTGGAATTCCCCAACCTGTGGTACCACCTTCTGAAACAAATCCACTCGCTTCAGTGCCTGAGTGGTGCAAGAACCATTGGATTTTTCCAGCGAGATAAAAGGGATAGAACCTATATCATACAGCATGTACCACTTTGAAAAAAACAATATTAATAGGTGGAACTGGCTCAAAATTTAGAACCTCAACATCTCAAAAAAAACAAAACACAGATGTGTTTTCCCAGTGAGAAAGCAGTAGGAATCAGGGTACCCCTTTTTTGCCAATAAAAAAAATGAAGATTGACCCGCACCGACCAACCAAATATGTAGTATCACACACAGGGTCTTGAGTGACTTATTGATTCTTTCTGAGGAAAAATGGTAAGAATTTTGACTACAGGCTATGACAAGCTATGCGGGGCTTGATATTAATGAAAGAATCCATTGCCAATAGGGGGTGACGTATGTAACAAGAATAGACAATGTTCACGTGATGCAAACCAAGTACATCAGGAAAATTCAGCTATATTAGGGATGAATCAACAATAGATAGACTGATAGAGTTCAATAGAGACAGTTTATGTTCAAGGGCTCCAAAACATGTCCATGAAAGGACCGCATTGGAGATGAAGAAAAAAGTGGATGATCATCACTAAACAAACAAACTGCAAAAATCCCCCACAAAAAAACATGACCTAATAACCGGTGAATCTGTTGCTACAGGTTTGGTCCCGCTGGTGATGTAGCCATTGAGATTGGTGATTGGCAAGTAGCTGTAGAGAACCCCATTTAGCACCTTCTACAATGTCATATAGAATGTAAGATTGAAATAGAATATGACATATAGGATGTAATAGCATATGACATATATGACATATAAGAGAAGTGCTATACATGTAAAATACACTACAATATCATAGAATGCAAGATTGTAATAGTGCATAATCCAATAATCCATAGCATCATGTAAACTAATACAATAGAATGAACAATAATATCTTACAATGTATTTATTTAATATAACATAGCACTCAGAAATGTAGCGCTCAAACATTTGGAAATTAGAAATATATTATAGTACAACCAATAAACTGTAAATCCTCTATATTGAATAGTTAATCATATAATATAGTAAAACTAAAAAATATATGTATATATATAATATTTAACGCAATACCATCTTGGATTTGCTGCTCCCCAAAACAAATCCATCGTGGATTCCCGGAAAGTAGACACAGGGGATCCACCATCCCGAAATTGTTCCATCGGTGGTGAAAATGAACGATCAACATTAATGGGTTGTAAAAATGAAATTGGCTCTATAAATTGATTTACTTGCTAATTAACACCCAAAAAACTATAGGTTGTGTAATGGAGTTGCATGGTGATATAATTGGATTTATTACTCACATTAGCTCTCTCTATATATATATATGTATCATACACCCTAGTGAAATTGGACTAATGTTCACCATTAAATCCCATGGAAAATCACCATTTATATAAGACACCTAACATTTGAAGTATATACCCATTAAATCATGTTTCAAACACCAAACATATATCGGCGGGTTATCCTACTCAACCCCCATGAAGATTTTGCGAAAAACTCACATTAATGGGGTTTGAATAGAAAAATAAAAACCCCTAATCATTCAGCTCATTAACAAAAGACTGGGGTTTGAATAAGTTCACCATTAAGAATATATTACCCCATTAAGAACCATTGTATGATAATAATTAAAAATAGATTGTCCTACTTGTTGATGGGGATATGATGATAATCCCACATAAACCAACATAAACCAACATGTTAACATAAACATAAACCAACATATATATATATACAGTATATATAGAGGTTTCCATAAATTGTGGTACCCCAACTATCATCCATTTTAGATTGGGATTTGTCCACTAAACCAACCAGCTATTGGGGGATCTCCCATTTCTGGAAGCCCCCATATATTATATCATTGCCAATCAGCCAGATACCCTGCAAAAAAATAAATTCTTTTCTGGTGAACGGTTAGATATTCCCATTGATACCAAAAGACTAGTTAGGATTAGTTTGTACCCATCTAAGATTGACCTATATATATATTATCTATATACCATTAAGAAACCACCACATTAATGTAACATCAACCGATACATCTCTCGGACTCCACCACGACGACAAACTCCAAGGGGCGCTGGCAAGTAGTCGAACCTGGCCAGCAGCTACACCCAGAAAATGTTGGGCAAATAAAACAATAACAATACAGGATGGGGCCCCCAAGATAGCTAAGTTGGTTTATAAGTGGCTTAACAATGGTTTATGGTAGATATAACTATAGTTAATGGGGATGATAAAGGTTTATAAACCAACTTATAACTGGGGGGGGGGCCATCCTGTAGTAATGACAATATGAGAACTGATAATAGTGATAATTATAAGAATAGTATTAATAAACATATTTGGCATATTACCCAGAAAAAATAGAAATAGTGATGACAATGTGAATAACAATAACAATGATAACAATGATTATAATTATAATGAGAATAATGATCGTGACAACAACGAAAAAATGAATACTAATACTGATAATAATGGTAATAATGATATATAATCATGATAATAATGATAATAATGATTAATGCACCAATAAGAATCATGATAAACAAATGATACTAATAGTGCTAATGATCACATAGACATAAGAGTCATGATGAAATTAGATCCTCGTAATAATGATACTGAGACATTGACTAGGTGATCTGGGTGACAATCAGAATCCAGAATGGTTACAAGTATAACCACATGTTGGAGCACCTGAACAATACCAAGAAAAAGGATCAACATTACATCTGGGTGACCCATTCCAGTATGTGTTATCACAGTTATACCTGGGTGATCCTTGCTATTTTCTTTTCAACACATTCTGAGAACATACCTAATAATAAATGGTTCCGTCTTAATGGGAAATTTGCAAGCAATCATTGGATTTGGGCCCATCCCAATTTGTTTCTGGTCAGCATCGGCAGCCCAAATGGATGCAGATTGGATCATGAAATTTTTCGCCCCCCCTTTTCACCAGCGAAAAAGACCCCTACAGTCACCCTGCACTAGGGCCATTTTGGATCATTTCGGGATATTTTGGGCTAGTTTCCCCAATACTATCCACTAGTACTGTGGCAACGTGAGGTCGTTTTTTTTTTCAGAAATTTGGATGGTTTGCTACTGAAGGTTGCCAACCCTCTAAGCCATTCCCCCTAATAAATCATTCTCCGCCAGTTACCGCTGACTTAGTTCTGGATCTATCTATTTTGGGGTCCCAAAATGAATGGCTGAGAGTAGTCTCTCCTCAGTTTTCAGGATGCTTCAACTATGCAAAAACCCCGTTTTTCATGGTCACCCTGTCTAGACGCGCTTGATGGGACAAAAATTGACCCCATTCCATCCATTCCGGCCTTGCTGGCATCACCCTTGCATTTGCTCTCGAGCTGACATCTGCTATAGATCTGCCCTGGCTTCAACGAAAGGCCCAAATGCGGATGGTTCAAGACCTGCAACGACGGCGCGTCGGGAGGCCAATCCACTATAGTCGTTGCAACAGTTGGACACATCCCCACTTTCAGATACGCAATGGTCAGCGGTAAATCAGTTATACTATATATATATATGATTATATATGCTTATATATGATTAGATGTGATTATATATGACTCTATTTGATTATATATGATTATAAATGATTACAAATGATTAAATATGATTATATATGATGATTATTTATGATTATATATGATTATATATGATTATATATGATTATATATGATTATATATGATTATATATGATTATATATGATTATAAATGATTATAAATGATTATAAATGACTATATATGATTATATATGCTTATATATGATTATCAATATGATTATATATATATATATCTATCTATATCATTCTATATCTATATCTAAATTATATCCAGATATTTTATGCATGTCTTGTTTCATCTTGTTTCATTTCCCCCGACGTCTTGGTCAAATCCTAATTCCTACGAGTTTAACACACCATTTCCGCTGGTTCAATTAACATCACCGGTGAACCCCTCAGCTGACCATTCGAAAAATACCCGGCCTGGTCAACATACAAACAACAATGGAACATCACCATTTTGAATTGTTAAATCCACTAATTCTATGGGCCATTTTCAATAGCTTTTTGTAAATTTACCAGAGGGCAATGGTAATTCCCTGCCTTTAACTGTAGTTCGTAAGGCTAGCCTCATAGAAAGGTTGAATCCTGTCGGAAAAGTCTGTAGATACCAAAGATTTATGACCACCGTTACACCTAGGTTTCGGACCCTTTGTCATCACAATTCACTGTAAATACTAACGATTTGAAGCCAAAATCAGTCCCCCATGAGGTCCCGTTCTGGATTTTACTATCTTAATCTGAAGTTAAAAAGAACCTGGGTGTCTGAAAATAGGGTATAGTATACCAAGCGGTAGCTAATTTTTCATAGAACAAATGGTGATTAGCCATTAGTTTATCATTGTTTACCAACTTAAGGGTCTGGGATTGTCCTTCCGCTCGAGTTTACCTTTGTATGGCATGGCCGATACATATTCCCATGTATGGCAAACAATTGTCAAAACTGGATACTTCCCAAGAATTGCAAAGTCTAAAAGCGCGATCTATAATAATAATCCGTTCATCCACAAATCCAGTTTTAAACGAACAAAATATAACACATGGAACATATCTTACTGTAAACATGAAACTCCCAACTAGGCAATGATTCCATTTAGAATGTCCATTAAAAGAATGTGAATCTATCACATTCCAATTTAGAACAAGGGCATTTCAATCATTCCCTTCTTAACACACAAATTTCAATCCATCAAAATTGGCATTTCAGCCCATTATGCCAACTAAAGACATAATATGATTCATTACATCCCCATGATATCCGATTATTTATACCACCATATTTCTTGAATTTTGATGCTTCAATCACCATTAAAACATGACTGTTTGGTGGCTTTCGCCCGTCCAAAATAAAAAATCATCTCAACCAATCATCCCAAGGTTGAAAATCAATAACTATGTGAACCCCCCAACCAGTTGATATTCCGAGATGAAATCCCATTCACCATTCCATCACCATTAAATCAGAATTCAATCACCATTCAATCACCATTTAATCACCATTAACCATCATGAACTATGGTTATCACTAGTTATCACCATGAAATCCTTGGGCTTGGACTAGTCCTTTGACCCCGGCGCCTGAAATCTGTCGCAGCAGTCAGGGCCGCACACCACTTGCGGCGTCATCGGGGCCGCCGTGCCACCGTGCCGGCGCGCCATGGTGACGTCCGGCGGAAAATCCGTTTGGAAATCTGGAAAAGCCATGGAACTCTCATGGAAAAGCTATGTTAAAACCTATGAAAATCCTGATGTTTTGGGTTGCTGATTTTGTTTTCCAGTGCCATTTTCCCGGGTCTGTACCATTTTGCCCACTGGAGTTGATGATTTTTTTCGGCATCCTGTTGAATATTCATCTTGAGGGTTCTACCAGTAGCTGCGTTTTTGCCAGAAAAAAGAGCGATTGATACCATAAACTGAGTAACTTCTAGCAGTCCAAAAATCACGCATCATACCATGATCTTCCTGAGGTCAGATAGCCAACATCAACCTCGTTTGAGTAGAGTACCCAACCTGGTTGTGACTAACAGTTCGCCATGGTATAGATGGCCCATAGAAATAATTAGATGGTTTACCGAACTTAAAAATGGTGATTTTCCATGGCGAACTGGCAATGTCATAACCAGATGGTAGTAGCCTTGAAATCCAATGGGTGGATGGTAGAAGTAGCCTCAATTTTTGCGACTCCGGCAGCCGGAAAATTCGGACCCAAATTCCCCACCGAATCCACCCCTGCGACAACCAGAGGCAACTGAACTGACTCGCGGTTTTTTAATCTCGCCGTGAATGGATGCTAGATTACAGTTGACTGGGCGATATAGGTTACAGTCCATCTACTATTTGACTTAAGTCGCTCAAGTGATCCCTTTCAGGAAAAAACAACCTGAACATGGATGGGACAAACTGCAAACCATCTTTTTGAGTGACCTTGTTTGCCTTCTTTCCCTCAAATATCTGATCAATTTCGCAGATCGATCCCTGCAACTCATTCTCATCCTCTCCACGGTTGCTCCCACAACTCTCCAGATACATTTTGGGGAAAGAAATGGCCAGATACAATGGTGAGTTTATCACTGTTCCACTAATGGCTTGGAGCATACCTGAGTCTGTGTATCCTATGTATTCCATGGTATACACATTGATAACTACACAATAGATATATTATATCCTATGCTGACTATACCATCTACCATCTGGCTATTCAACATAGCCATGGATAATCACCACGTTTAATAAGTAAACCATCTATAAATGGGCCATTTCCCATGGCTATGTTAAATTACCAGAGGGTAATCTATATACCCACTGACATCCTATGTGAAACACCCATTGTTGATGAAATCCCATGGTCCCACCCCTCACCACAGCGGCCTTTCGAAAGCATTCTTCGAAGTCATCACCGCAGCCCAAGGCCGTGCTGCATGGAACGTGCAGTGGTTTATTTAAGGATTTTGAAGGAAAACAAATGGACGATTTATATACATGAGTGCATCATGTGTATATCTAATGTGTATATATATATATACATATGTATACATATATACATACATATATATATATATACATCTATTTATACATAGATATATACATATGTATATATATATATGTGCAATGCAATGCAATGCAATGGAATGGAATCTATGTAATGATATGTATATAGACCTATAGAAATTGTATCGTATTATAGCTAATGACAATGTATTTTATCATGTTAAATTACAGGACATCCTATCACAATAGTTTCTTATATGGTGTACTAGTATGTCAAAGCGTATTGTACAATATAATCACGTAGTCTAATGAATATATTAAAATTCAACATCAGGTACTACACTATCATTAAATATTGTTTAAAAACATAATGCAAAATAGTATATTGAAACAATATCAGACCATGTGTATTTATATACAAACATAGATATATGATTAAAGTGTGTATATATATATATATATATATACATACATATACATATCATGCATTTATAGTACATATATAAATGTATAGCACATATATATATAGTACGCATTTATACATATATACATATTATTTGATTAGATACAATACTTGGTCATTTCAAACAAAAACATATTTGTACATTCTTGACATGGAACTTCTACATGTTATTTTCAAGCAGGTCATAAAACTGAGTTCCCGCAAATCACCTGCAGATGGTATTCCCTTACTTCACATGCTCCCATTAAACAGCATTATGGCATTTATATCTATGATTATCTATGACTTGTACCTTGTCATATATATATATACATATTATATCATATATATATAATATAGATTATATATAAACTATCATATATATATATACATATTATGAACACATCCAGGAAGTCGTATCATCTTCCAACCCAAGTGTTTCTGCTTTCTTGCTGCCTTCCCCCCGTCGAAGTCGAGCAACCCCAAAAGCCACAGGTCTCTTCGGAGGCCCAGTCTGATCCATCGATGCCTCAGTGACGACATTCCCAAGCCTACTGATTGATTTATATAACCTATATAGGGGGTTTCTTAACATGGGGGATCCTAAAGAACTTTTTTTTTAAATATTAAAAAAGTGTCTAATTACTTGGATGAGTTGGGAGTACCTCAATTTTAGGAAAACTCCATACACTACTAGTCCACCTTTCATAGTAGTCATCACTTCACGGTCAATCTTTCATCGTATTCACCAGTTCATGGTTAAATCTCATCGTTTGCTGGTTGGCTGGTTATTCTCTCTATAATAGCAAACAAACTAGCTAACAACCAAAGGATGAGTTACTACCCAAGGTTGGGGATGAAACAACACAAAAACCTACTGGTTTTTCAATCCTGGGTGAAGGCTTAACGCTACTTGGGGGGTGTTAAGGGGCATAGCTATAGGAATCTAACCCCTATACGTTGTGATATGGGCCCCCCATAACACGACTTAGTTCACCGGAACTGCACCCCCAATTTCACACTGCTTGAATGCTGTCCTCTGGAAGAAACGAGCTGCATTCGGTTCCCACAGCACACCAAACTGACAACTACTAAATTATGTGGCAATAACTAGGCCTGGTGGACCAACCAAAAACATATCCACCATCACCATCACCATAAGTACTACCATGGTACCTTGATCAATTTATGGCAAAAATGAGAAACATATGAACCAATAATTCACCAAAGATGACTGGTTGGTGGTTTCAACAGCACTGAAACAGATGCTCGCATTGGGCATCATCGTCTCAGATAGGGTTCTTCCACATGATACACATTTCCTGATCCTATACTTGGGGGTGCAGGCCAGGAGTAACCTCAATAATTTGGGAAGCCGGCCCCTGCAAGGGTGAAATCTAAGGCACAAGAATTAGTGGAACTGCATCCCCGAAGAAAGGTACTGTGAGATTTCAGAGAGACTCAGGCACTCACCACTTTCCCTTCGAAACTCGCCATTAGGTGGTGAATCCCCCATTTTCAAACACGCAGAAATCATGTATATACATACTATTGTTTTCAATGTATCTATATATATATATATATATGGTCAGCGCCCTTCAATCCTCAATATGGGGGTTCTGAGGGTGGTGGTGACCATATGTATATGTATGTATATATATATATATTGGTTGTATATCCTCAAAATATCACCATTCAATACCAAGTAAGCCCCATTAAACCCCCAATCCCCCCAAAACACCCTATAAATGGTCCCAAATGTCCCAGATATGCGCAAGCCCCCTATTAAACCATTGTTTTTGTAAGTTGCTCAAATTTAGGGGGATGAGATGGTATTCATTATCATTAACGCATAGTCAAAACTGTAAATAGCCACAACTGCACCCCTTAAAAAAATCGCATAATATATATATATATATACATATACATATGGTCATATATACATATATATAATCATATATGTACAATCATATATATATATATATACATATGTGTGTGTGTGTCCCATCATCTCGCCATTATATACCATTAAATCTGAGTAAATCACCAATTGTTATGAGCTTGTGATTCTGATTTATCCATAACCACCACAATATCAATATTAAATGATCATGAAATCCCCTTAAACATATTTATACATATTCCGCACATATATATATATATATGTATATTATTATATAAATATAAATATACATAGTCCCTTTGAAATCATCAAAGTCCCATTAAATCACACTTACCATATCTTTCCGGTATCCCTATGTATCTCACATAGTCCCATTGAAATCACATTTTTCACTGTTAAATCAGCCAGTTGCATGGATAGATCAACGCTTGCGCATCCAGCACTTGAACGCCATGCTTTGCCACGGTGGACGCCACTAGATGCCCCCCAGCAGAGAAACCCATGGCACACACAGGACCTCACGGTCATCGGTGGCAATTGCGTAACGGGAAAGTGGTAAAGCTGGTCAACATAACGAGGTGAACTCTGGAATCCCCAAGAAAAATATTGAAAAACTGGGATTTATGTAAAAAATGATCATTCAGTCTATGAGAGGTAACTTGGTTTATAACTAACTAGCTTAACTGTGGTCTTAACTCCAACTGTTGGATTTATGGCGTGAAGATTTCGGTGTTTCCAATGGGGGGAGTTCTTCACCAAGAAAATAGATTGGGAATTGAAAACTAACATTGGTACCCACTATATACACCCTGATAAGGTTTATTTTGGGCTTTAGGACGGTTTCGTTCGAGTCTCTAAGAGGGGTTTCTTTCGGGTT